TAGAAATACTCTATTCTCTCTAGCATAAATGCAATCAATCAAGTTGATACCGTGATAGAACCGATCAGCAGGTGGCAAACGGCGTTTACTGGTAGTTAATGTACCTTTCTATTTTCTTATTTTTCAGTTCAACAAAAGAGGAATCCGGTTACCCCTCCTCGACAGCGTAGAGCATGGTGCTCAGCAAAGTGGCATCACTTTCCAACAATCCTCCTACCCATTTTGTTGGAAACATTGCGTTTGCAATAAATTATACAGTCACTTTGTGTCCCTCTTTATCCGAAGACGGAAATCTAGTGTTTACAACCCGTTGACAGGCTGGCTGGCTCATTCAGTTATACTTATGCTTGTCTAAATAACTTTGCGCCAAGCGGTGACTAGGCCAGTCAAGTGGATCTTTTGGACTACATCCAAGTGAGCCTTCCCAATCCCATTGTCCAACTATTTGAATACACATCTCTGAGACTGAGCAGCGTTCGAGCATCCTCAATCATGGATACTTCGCTTGCGCTGACATCGTAGGAGCTAAATGGACAGTTCGTATCAACTCTGGAAAATCGCCAGTTTTTGCTTATGTGAATTTGTGTGCATGTGTGCATTCATATGTGTACGTATGTGTACAGTGATGTCTTATTGTCAATTTTTCGGATTAGTCTGATCAAACACGTGTGCACACCGAATGTATGTGAAAAGGGTAGAAAAGATTGGTATGCTGGATGAATATGAGGTTGACGAAAGCGAGGATGGTACCAGTTAGTAGTATGCAAGAAGATAATCCAACCTCACATCAAACAGTCTGTATGACTAACGGAAGAATCCTCATCGTTAAAAGCCTCAAATTGGTCTCCGCGATTTCCCTAGATTATTTAGTAGGCTGCCTCTCCTCTTACGTAACCATCAAGAGTGAGGCCTCCAATTCTTTGATATGTATTGATTAACAATCCGATTAATCTCAATTGCTCCCATTAAAATCCAGTATTTGCAGATAATTCTATCGTGAAGCTAAAATTGCATCATACAACAACAAAAGAGGAATCCGGTTACCCCTCCTCGACAGCGTAGAGCATGGTGCTCAGCAAAGTGGCATCACTTTCCAACAATCCTCCTACCCATTTTGTTGGAAACATTGCGTTTGCAATAAATTATACAGTCACTTTGTGTCCCTCTTTATCCGAAGACGGAAATCTAGTGTTTACAACCCGTTGACAGGCTGGCTGGCTCATTCAGTTATACTTATGCTTGTCTAAATAACTTTGCGCCAAGCGGTGACTAGGCCAGTCAAGTGGATCTTTTGGACTACATCCAAGTGAGCCTTCCCAATCCCATTGTCCAACTATTTGAATACACATCTCTGAGACTGAGCAGCGTTCGAGCATCCTCAATCATGGATACTTCGCTTGCGCTGACATCGTAGGAGCTAAATGGACAGTTCGTATCAACTCTGGAAAATCGCCAGTTTTTGCTTATGTGAATTTGTGTGCATGTGTGCATTCATATGTGTACGTATGTGTACAGTGATGTCTTATTGTCAATTTTTCGGATTAGTCTGATCAAACACGTGTGCACACCGAATGTATGTGAAAAGGGTAGAAAAGATTGGTATGCTGGATGAATATGAGGTTGACGAAAGCGAGGATGGTACCAGTTAGTAGTATGCAAGAAGATAATCCAACCTCACATCAAACAGTCTGTATGACTAACGGAAGAATCCTCATCGTTAAAAGCCTCAAATTGGTCTCCGCGATTTCCCTAGATTATTTAGTAGGCTGCCTCTCCTCTTACGTAACCATCAAGAGTGAGGCCTCCAATTCTTTGATATGTATTGATTAACAATCCGATTAATCTCAATTGCTCCCATTAAAATCCAGTATTTGCAGATAATTCTATCGTGAAGCTAAAATTGCATCATACAAC